CAGAGATGCAACACCAACTCTTTGAGCTGTTCCTCTTCATATACCTGATCACAATGTGTGGAAACCTGCTCATCATCCTGGCAGTCAGCTCTGATCCCCACCTCCACAAGCCCATGTATTTCTTCCTCTGCAACCTGTCCTTGGCTGACATTGGCTTTGTCTCCACTATAGTCCCAAAGATGCTGATGAACATCCAGACACAGAGCCAATCCATCACTTATTTGGGATGCCTAATACAAGTGTCCTTTACTTATCTCTTTGCATGTCTGGACAATCTGTTCCTTACTGTGATGGCTTATGACCGGCTAGTGGCTATTTGTCACCCCCTTCACTACACAATGATCATGAACCCCAGGCTCTGTGGCTTGTTAGTTATGGTATCTTTCCTTATCAGCATTCTGGAATCCCAGCTACATATTTTAATGGTGTTACAACTTACTTTCTGCTCAGATGTGACAGTCCCTAGTTTCTTCTGTGACCCTCCACAACTCTTCAACCTTGCTTGTTCTGACACTTCCACCTATACCATACTGATGTATTTTTTTGGTGTTATCTTTGGTGGTGTTCCAGTCTCTGGGATTCTTTTCTCTTACATTCAAATTATTTCCTCCATTCTGAGAGTCTCATCTTCAGGTGGGAGATATAAAGCCTTTTCCACCTGTGGCTCTCACCTATCAGTTGTTTGTTTATTTTATGGAACAGGACTTGGGTCGTACTTCAGTTCAGCTGTCAAATCTTCTGCCAGGAATGGTGCAGTGGCCTCAGTAATGTACAGCATTGTAACCCCCATGCTGAACCCCTTCATCTACAGCCTGAGGAACAGGGACATAAAAAGAGCTCTAAGGAGATGCCTCAGTAGCACAAACTAATCTCAAAGTTGTGTCATATTCACTGGCATATGGGTTCAAAAAGATGGCAAGAAATAACATCTGCAATCTGAAATCTTGCCTGGTTGGTTTCACAATTTTTGTAGCTCTCAATGGTTCAAAGTTGAGTTTCCATACCTGAACATTGTTTCCTTTGTCACATCTTTAATAGGATATGGGAAGAATTCTGGGGTATGTCAATTGGCAGGATCAAATCCTATTATAGTTATGTCATTTTCTGTAGTTTCTCACCTATGACCTCGGTTTATAGTTAAAATGTACAATTCTCTTTCTCTGTACTTATAATCTTCATTCTGTATCTTAATTAATATCTACTATTCAGAGTGGATATCATTGCTGATGTCCAATGGATCTTGGCTAAAGGCAGAGGATATCAGAAAGTTGTTTACCTGTGCTTTATGGACTATACCAAGGATTTTGATTGTGTGGTTCATGACAAGCTATGGACAATATTGTGAAGTATGAATATTCTAGAAATGTAATTGTGCTCATGAGGAATCTGTACATAGACCAGGAGGTAGTTGTTCATACAGAACATGGGAACACTGAATGGTTTAAAATTAAGAACGGAAAGTGACAGGGTTGTATTCTTTCACCATACTTACTAAAATTGTTGCTGAGCAAATAATCTGAGAAGGTGAGTTTTATGAAGAAAAGCATGGCATCAATATTGGAGAATGATTCATTAACAACCTGGGATATACAGATGTTATAACCTTGCTTGCTGAAAGTGAAGAGATCTTAAAATATTTACTGATGAAGATAAAAGAGCACAGCCTTCAGTATGGATTACATCTCAATGTAAAGAAAACAAAAATCCTCACTACTGCACCAATAAACCACATTCAAAGGAGAAAAGATTGAAGTTGTCAAGTATTTCATTCTTCTTAGATCAACTATCGATACTCATGGAAGCAGGAGTCAAGAAATCAAAAGATGCCTTGCATTAGGCAAATCTGCTGCACAAGAACTTTTTAAAGTGTTGAACAAAGATGTCAGCTTGAGGACTAAGGTGTGTGTGACCCAAGCTATGGTATTCCCAATAACCTCATATGTATGTGAAAGCTGGCCAGTGAATAAGGAAGGCCATAAAAGAATAGATGTTTTTGAGTTATGGTGTTTGAGGAGAATATTGAAAGTGCCATGGGCTTCCAAAAGAATCATCAGATCTGTGTTGGAAGAAGTGCAGCCAGAGTGTTCCTTGTAGGCTAAGATGGCCAAACTTCATCTCTCAAGTTTCAGACATATTGTGAGGAGGGATCAGTCACTGGAGGATGATATCATGTTTGGTAATGTGGAGGGTCAGAGAAAAAGAGGAAGACCCTAGCAAGATGGATGGTCAAAGAGGTAGCATAACTGGTCTCCAGCATAGCACCAATTGTGAGGTTGGCTCAGGATCAGGCAGTGTTTTGTTTTGTTGTACATAGTGTTGTTATGAGTCAGTACTAACAAAATGACACTTAACAACAACTACAACCTAGAGTATAATATGTATGAAGGAGAATATTCAAAGTAGCATGGACTGCCAAAAATAAAAACAACTGTGTATTAGAAGAATTATAGCAAGAATGCTCCTTAGCAACCAGAAAGGCCAGACTTTCTCTCTCATAATTCAGACATATAATCAGGAGGGACCCTGGAGAAGGACATCGTGCTTGGTAAAGTGGAAGGGCAGCGACAAAGAGGAAGACTACCTAATGAGATGGACTGCCAGTACAAGTAGCAATGGGATCAGGCATTGCAACAATTGTCAGGTTGGTATAGGACTGGGCAATATTTTGTATACATGGTCACTAAGAGTCGATGTTGACTGGATGGCACCTAACAACACTAAATACATGAAGAAATTTAGGCACATGGAAGAACTAGAGGTAAAAGAGTTAAACAGAAAAAAATCAAAGGGCAGCTCAAGAGTACAAAGTAAAATATAATCAACTGTGCAAAGATCTTGAATTAGAAAATCAAAAGAGAAGAACATGCTTAGCATTTCTTAAGATGAAAAAGTGAAGATACATTTCAAGTCTCAAATTGCAATATTAAAAGATTCAAAGATCCAGGAAGAATTAAAGGAATATGAAAGGCATATACTGACTTACTTTGCAAAAAAATTTGTTGATGCACAACTGTTTCAAGAGGCAACATACGATCAAAAACTTATGGTACTGGAAGCAGAAGGTCAAGCTGCACTGATAATATTGATAAAAAAAACAAAGCTTCAGGAATTGATAGAATACCAACTGAAATCTTTCAGCAAACTGATACAATGTTTAAACACTCACTTGTATATGCCAAGAGATTGGAAAAACAAGTACCTGCCCAATCAACTGGAAAAGATTCATGTTAGAGTCAATTTAATCAAAAGATTTCACAACATAAAATAAAAAATTTAAAGAATATCATTAATGTCACATGCAATCAAATTTTTCTTTAAAAAATTCTAAAACAGTTGCAGCAATATAGGGAAGTGCCAGAAATTCAAGTCAGGTTCAGAAGTGGATGAAGAATGAGGGATATCATTGCTGTCATCAGATGCATGTTGACTAAAAGCATAAATGTCAGAAACGTGTTTACTTGTGTTTTATTATCTATGGAACGTCATTTGACTGTGTGAATCATAACTAACAATGGATTACACCGCAAAAACAGGTATTCCAGAACACTTTACTGTGCTCATAAGGGACTTGTACATAGAACAAGAGGCAGCTGTTTGAACATAACAAAAGAACACTGAGTGGTTGAAAACCAGTAAAGGTATGTGCCAGGGTTATATCCTTTCACAAACTTACTCAAACTGAAAAAATAATATGAGAAACTGGATTATACGAAGGAGACCATGACATCAGGATTGGAAGAAGATTCATTAACAAACAGATATACAGATGAAATGACCTAGTTTTCTGGAAGTAAGATGACTAAAACAACTTACAGATAAAGATCAAAGATGAACAACCTTCAGTATAGATTGGTTATATGCAGATGGCAAAACCTTTCTTGCTAGATATGAAAATGACTTAAAATAGATATGATGAAGATCAAAGAGTATGTTCATTCTTCATTGTGGATTGCACTTCAAAGCAAAGAAAACTGAAATCCCACTACAAGACCCATAAATCACAATGAAAAATGGAGAAAAGACTGAAGTCGTCGAAGATTTCAAGTTTCTTGGATCCATAATCAACACTAATGAAAGTAACAGTCAAGAATGTAAATGACATAGTACATTAGGCAAATCTGCTGCAAAAGACCTCTTTAAAATGTTTAAAAGTAAATATGTCAATTTGAGGACTAAGGTGCTCCTAATTCAACTCATGGTATTTTTAATTACTTCTTATGCATTTGAAAGTTGGACAATGAATAAGGAACACCATAGAAGAATACATGCATTTGAATTATGTATGATGTCAGTAATGAATATTGAATATGACTACCAGAAAATAAAGAAATGTATCTTAGAAAATATATAGCCATAATATTTTTGTTGTGGTTGTTGTTAGGTGCCATCGAGATGGTACCAACTAATAGAGAACTTATGCATAGCAGCACGAAACACTGCCCGATCCTGGGCCAACCTTACTACAGTTGTCAACGTTTGAATCCATCAATGATTCCACTTGACCAATCCATCTCATTAGTGGTCTTCCTTTTTTCTCTGACCCTCAATCTTACCAAACATGATGTCCTTCCACACAATATGTCCAAAGTGTGAGAGATGAAGTTTGGCCATCTTGACCTCTAAGAACACTCTGGCTGCACTTCTTCCAGAATGGATATATTGGTTCTTTTGACAGCCCATGGAACTTTCAATATTCTCCTTCAACACCATAACTCAAAAACATCATTTATTCTACGGTCTTCCTTATTCACTGTCCAGCTTTCACATGCATATGAGGCCATTGAAAATACCATGGCTTGGGTCAGGC